AAAACTGCTTCACAAAGTGGCAAGAATTATAGGGTGAATGTGTTTGAAGTGAGGGGGGTATTTTGATGGGGATTAACAGCAATGTGTGTCTTACTGTAATTTTAAAAATTTAAGCATTCACTCTCATTTATGATCATACCTCATATAGTTACATTCTGAAATACAGTTAATGCCTCAGTTCACGAACATTTCTGTTTGCAAACAATTTAGTTTTCAAATAAAAGGATTCCACAAAATTTTCCTTCTGTCACAAACTCTTCACTGGGTGACAAATATGACCAAGGCTATCTTCCTCACACCAACACAAACACAACCATCTTTCCCCAAATCATAAAGCACATTAACTTCATAAACCAAAGCACCACTGTGCTGGGGGTTAGGACTTCAACGTATAATTAAGAAGAGGCACAATCAACCTACAACAGGGACCTTGGTTAAAATGAAGCCAGCCATATGACTCTAAGGCTAAAATTGTAACTCTTCTGCTATTCTGAGAGTGGAATCTCACACTATTCAGACCAGTAAAAACACTACCATTTTTAGTTGTCCTTACTATCACAGAAAATGAAGAAAGATTTCTACTGATCAATGATCTTCCTTCATATGATAAAAAAGGCATTGAGCTCACAGTAACAAAATTTATTAGCATTATTCTTTACTGTATCTGTTATAAGCAGCTGGCCTTAGAAGAAGACTCAGTGATGGGGAATTAATACATTTCTGTTTTGGATGTTGTTCATTCAAACCTCCCTTTTATATTTATTTATTTATTTAGCAAATATTTAAGGAGTGCCTGCCATATTCCAGACACTTTTCTAATCACTTTTGAATTGTCAGCAAATTTAATCCTAACAGTAGACTTTTTTTATATACGTGAGAAACCAAAACTTGAAAAATTACATAATCTGCCAACATTTACATCATTTAAGTAGAGCCAACACTGAAAGAAGGCAGCCTCCTCTAGGTCTTCTACATGTACTTTAGCTTTCTTTTCTGGCTTTTGTGATGTCTGAGATTGATAATTTCAGCTGACCTTTAAAGTTTTTTAAGGAGAGTGGTTACTACAGTTGCTGCTAGCTTAATAAATTTTTGTTTGCCTCCATTTTATATAGAATGTGAGATAGCTGTATTTACAGTTCCTATGTAAACTGCATATTTTATAAGAAAAATGAAATCTATGTTTTTTAATTGTTTGAACTAGAAGCTAAGACTCTTTGAAACAACAGAGAAGATTTTTAAAACCCAGGAGGATACATTAAAAGCAGTGATAGAAAACCTGAGTGATAGAAAACATGGGTGGGACAGGAATTTTGAGGAATTCCAGGAAGACAGAATACAGATAAAATTGGTCAATGGAAAAAATAGACCAGAAGAAAAGGGTGTGAGATAGCAGAGGTGAACACAGTTTCTTCTATGAGAGCCCCCCAAAAAGCTAGTCATAATGAACAAGCAGAAAGAACAATAATGCTCAAGTTATTTATTCTATATCAATATTGAGAACAGTAGAAATGGCTGGAGAATATCTCTGCTGCCTTATGGAGGTCTTTAGAAATAGTATTTCTCCTAAAAATAAAACCTGAGAGCTGTCCTTAAAGAGAGGAGTAGGGGAGAAGCTTCTATTAAGAGTGTAGTCAAAATCAGAGCACCACTGTGGGTAGATATCAATATTCACAGCAGCTAGAGCTGAGGAATGAGGTAGAGGAACTGAGTCAAAGCAGGTCTACCAGGGACTGAATGAGATGCACTAAGCACCCACCCTAAGAGGAACTTTCCTACCTCGACACCTCCATCTGCTCCTCCTTATTGGGTTCCACAGGGAATCTGATCTGACAAGTGTTCCATGCTCTGGTATTGAAAGACCACAGCCTGCTCACCAGACAAATAGCAACCTAGAACACCTACTTCAAATAAATCTTAGTCAGGCTAGCTCTTGACTTGCAAGAGTGAATGGACAATAAAGAATCACCAGACTGTTTGAGGATCACTAGATTATAAACCCTGAGAGTCAAGGATACATTTGAATAAACTGAGCAACCAACACAATGAAAACAAATAATTCAGGAAGACAAAACAATTAAAAAGCTATAAATAATATTCATCAAGATAATTTAAAAGGTTCTTGTATCTACCAAAAACGACTTAGCTACTGTGAAAAAAATACAATATCCATAATTAAGCCTTATGGCAAAAAAAAAATTGGAGATCAACAATAAAATAATCCAAAGATTAACCTAGACATCTGGAAGATAAATTTAAGAAATGTTATCAGAACATAGATAAAAAAATGAAAAATATAAGGCATTCCAGAAGGAGAGAATGGAAACAATAGAGAAGAAATGATCAGAGAACTAGCAAAAGAAAATTTTACTCAATTAAATACAAACACAAGACTACTATGCTAGGGAGGGTGTATGTAAAGAAAAGTCTGATATCTAGACATAGTCAAATGATAAGCATTCTGTGATAAAGAAAAAAAATATTCCACACACTAAAATGTACTTAGCTATAAGGAGAAAACATTGAGACATATATAAATATCAGACTTATTAATAGTGCTGGATTCTAGAAAATAGTAGAAAAATGTTTCCTAAATTCAGAGGAAAACACAAGCTAAAAACACATTGAATAACAATTATATATTTAAGTCATTTATTCATCTTCAATGATTAGAATCAACCAATTAAAATGGTTTGTAATTAGAGCTAGAGAATAGAATGCTATTATGATAGTATGATTAACAGAGGTGGAGTGAGAAATAAAACATTATAGAATTAATAGATACCCTACATTTCAAACTGAGACTTCAAGTACTGCGAGTTGGTAAATCAAGAAGTGGAGGAATGTAAAATACATTTTTAAATTTATAGTTGTAACCAGCAGAAAAAACAAAAATGGAAGGTGAATAATTGTGAAAATTCCTCTAAGGACTACACCTGTACCTGCCTGTAGTGGTGGATTTTTCCATTCATTGTATTACACAAACATGAGCACAAATTCATGCACATACACACACATACACATGTATACACACACACACACACACACACAGAATAATGATGTCTGAATAGGATCAAAATGAATCTAAGAGGATTGATGATCACCAAAAGATTGTGGCTTCTGAGACCAACCTCTAGCTTTCCTGCTCTGTGGATGGAGGTGTGACTTTGGATTGCATCCCTGTTGTTAGGCCATAAGTAGATGCACAATTGCATGTTAGTTTTTAGAAGGCACTAGTCATAGCATGGATGTGTTCATGTCAACCCACAGCTGGCTGGTACTGGCTATGTCAGTCAATATGTCTGCCATCCTCATTCCTCTCCTTCTCAAACTTGTCTCCCCAGAGTCCCATGTTGAAGCATGGAAAAAGCAACACTGGTCTTTTCATGGGGACAGCCAAGGACCATGCTGCAGTCCATCCACAGCCACCTGTGCAGTGGCTCATGAAGTGACCTGGTATCTAAAGTTAATTTCTCTGGAATTGAAACTATGTTTGGAGAAATCTAGCTAGAGGCTAACAGTGTGAGAGTTGCTCTGCAAAAAGCCATGAACTGCAAACATGAGATCCCTAGTGCCACTGAGTGCACAACTGGCCTCGAGCTCCAGTTGACTGTCGCCCTTTTATTATACTGCTGCTCATGATTCCAAGGGATTCCATGTCCATTTTTAGACCAAGCACTCCCTTCCAATATCTACTACTTTTATTTGTGCTAGCTTGAGAAGGTCTCCTTCTTGAGACCCAAATCACTGCAATGCAGAGAAGCCTGACAATGCATGATGTTCACCTTGTATTCAGAAGGGAAGAGAGGTCCAGTGACTGGTGGCCTCTGAGATAGTACTTCTGCTTTAGGGTAACCCAGCCTGTACCACAAGAACTGGTTGCATGTGACTGAGATTGCTTTTTCAACAAGAGTAGACTTTTCTTAATTGCTTATTTTTTTTCTTCTTTTTAAAAGATTATTGAGCTATTAGGTTGGAAGTCTCAAGATATTTCTCAAAGCCTCCAGTCTTTTTAAATGGACTTAGGAGAAAATTAAAAAGAAATAACCTTTAAATTCGCTTTAATCATCTTTGTTTTTCTGATTCTGAGACAAGAGAACCTATTCTGCATTTTAACCTTCAAAATATATAAAAACAATGATTTCTGGAAGATGTCAAATAGATCTCTCTACTTCTTCTAGGAAGCCCATCCTAATAGGCATGAGGAAGACCAAATCCGGACAGTAGGAAACTGATTTAGCACCATCCATCAGGACTTGGAAACCTTCTCTTGAACTTAAAAATGTCTCACAACACCAGGCAGGGTCAAGTCTATGATTGTGACAGATCAAGACACTAATAAGACTGCTTCATAGACATGTTTGAAAACAGTCAAAACATGAATATGGTACAAGACACAAAAGTGTTCAAACATTTCTCTATCTAAATTAGATTTATCAAGACACCTAGTCATAAAATTCTTTCCAGTTTTTGATAGCATCAAATCTAAAGTCCCACTCTCTTGAACCTTGAGATGACCTAATCAAGGGCCGGGGATTTAGCTAAGGGGTTCCACTGCCTGCCCCAAAAGCACAAGTACCTGAGTTTGATCCCCGGTACAAAAAAAAAAATTACCTGATCAAAGCTCAAATACTTTCTTGCAAGTAATTTCTAACATTTTTCTATAATACTTTCTTACTGTGATACCCTATGATTCCCCATGTCTCTGTGTCCCACTCCTTTAAAAAGTAGTAAATCCCACCTGTTTCTGATGTTAGGCTGGAGAGTTTGACAGGCCTTAGGAATGTCATGTTCTGTGGCTCCAACTCCTAATTTTTCTTCTCTCAGATCATCAAGAAAAACAGCAGCTCCTTGGACTGACTTTCTTGGGTCTAGCAATAATCATCAATGTCTACCAAATACTTCTTACTAGATACTTTACATGGATTAATCCATCTGATCCTCCAATGACCCCAGGAGTAGATAGGATTAATGCTCAATTTACACAGAGAAAATGGGTATAAAAGCCACAGCTTTATTTAGTGATGGAACTGAGTTAGCACTGGGGTTCTGACTACCCAGTGCTGCTGCCCCCTCTTCCTTTGTCCTCCAGGCTCTGCTCTTGGGGTGCACACAATGCTGTGTGATCACTGTGCCCTCTGTGGCATTCAAAGGCATTGTAATAAACTGCCCAGGAAGTGATTGCTGGGTTTCTTGTAATATGTGGGAGAATGCAGATTCTGACCAAGAAATACAAACAAATAAATCCTCCTGGGTCTCAGTACCAAAAACAACTTCTAAGCTTTTTTGGAGCAGTTAGATTTCTTTTTCACCTAATGGAGACAATCATATAACTCAGACTTTCAACTTGATTTCTAGAAGGTGAATAGACCTACCCAGGAAGACATTCTCTTTACATTTTGCTGTCAGTATTACTAATGTGGGCAAGATTCCTATTGGTAATAATGTGACTATCATTTCTTTAACTCCTTGTATAGCAAAAAAAGGGGAATCTGAGGCCCAGAGCTTTGGATGTGATAATAGCTAGTGAGAGTTCATTTTATTTTTATTACTTTTGTGATTAGCTTCCACCTATAGACAACTATACAGTCTTTGCATTTACAAATAATAGAAACTTTCTTTTAAAAACAAATTTGCTTCTGTAAAAATTTGAGTTCCTTTAGAGAAAATGATAGATAAATTGTAGTAGAGCTGGTATAGCACACCAAACAAGGAAACAAATGTCATGAAGATGATTTGGGAAACTGACTTCAGTCTCCTCTTACTTTAGATCTGGAAAGACCGGAGTTAAACTCATGGATCATTGATCTCATGGGTGTGGGCCCTTAACTGTGAATGCCACCTTCTAATTTTATTCATGAATTTATCTTCTGTCTCCTCCCTCACTTTCCCCTCTGTTCTGTGACTTGCTACCCTCATCTGGTCAGGGAGGGGGACAGTAGTGTAATGAAGGACACCTCTTTTAATAATACGGTGTCGGAAGACTAAAAATGAGTGATTCCATCTACCCATTCCTCGAGTGGGTAGCAAGAAAGTCTGGGAAAGCCCAGCTCCTCCGGCTCTGTCAGGTCTCGGAAAGTTTCAGTTCTTCAAATTGGGCAGGAACTGCGTTTCTAAAACTGCCTGGACAGCGGATTCCTTAGCTCCTTTGCCTCCCAGCTTCGAATCACCCGAGAGCGTGTTCCAGCGAAACGTGGGAGCGGATCAGAGAAAGTACTTGGGTGGGAAAGCGAGGAGGCGGTGCCTCAGGGGCGCTGCCCACCCCCCACCCCCCTTTCCTGGCTGCAACACCTTGACCTTCAGTCCACCTCCCTCCTCTTCGCCCCGGGAGTGGGGCAATTCTCGCAGACCCCGGGGGGTCTGAGGGAGGAGATAGCGCATGGTGATGGACACAGCCCGCGGGAGTGGGAGGGGGTAGGCAGGGCCCAGGAGCCTGGGAGGCACCGCTCCTGCCGCCCAGCAAAGCTCAGCAATCTGGAAAAGCTGGGTTTGGATTCCCCCCTCTTTAAAGAGTTCTCGGGAAGTTTGGGGGAGGGGCGAGCCAAGCTCTCCTGTCCTACGGGCGGCTGGGCAAGCAGGGAGGGCAGCAGCCTCGGGTCTTACGGCTGACAGGGTCCTGCCCTCGAGCGGGCTCCGAGTGCTGCTGGCAGGCGAGGGCCACGGGGCGCCGGCGAGGCGCGCTGGGCAGCGGGCCGCGCGGGACAGGCATGGAGGGTCTGGTCCTCTTCAATGCCCTGGTCACCCGGCTGCTTTTCCTGCTGCACTCGCTGGTCGGGGTCTGGCGAGTGGCCGTGGTGATGAAAGAGTCGCGGTACTGGCTGCTCGCGCTGCTCAACCTTTTGCTCGTCCTGGAGACTGCGCTCACTCTCAAGCTCAAGCGTGGCAGAGGCTACAAATGGTGAGAATGCCTCGGGAAAGGGAGGGTGCGCGGGGCCCTGGGCAGTGCTCCCAGTGGCACTCGGAAGCAGCTTTAGAGCTCATCTCACCGTAGCCCGCCGTTTCTGGGCTCCTCTCGGACCCTTTTGTCCTCCCAGGAGCTTGGAAGGAGCGTGAGAGAGATGCCCGCGCGTCCGCGGCGCGTCTGTGGTACCCGTGGGTCCCAGGGCGTCCCTGGGAAGCCGGGAGCCCTGCGGGCAGCCCTGCGTCACCCCTCCCCGTTCGGGAACTTGGAACACTGGGAAAAGAAGTGGGGGAGAGTTCATCTGCTTAGCAGAAAGCGCCCCCAGATAGGGGCTACAAGGGGCAAGGAGGCTGCTGTGTGCCTCGCTGGGGAAATGTAGGGTGTGTGGTGTGCCCGTGTTACTCCGCTTGCGCGCAGGTGTGGGAATGCTTTTCTCTGGGCATCAACTATCCTTGCAAGAGACGCGCGCGGTGGGCACCTTCGCCCAGAGAAGAGCTACTGGCCACGCATCTTTGGTTTCAGCGGCTTCCCTTCTGCCTAGCCCCTGGCTCATCTGGGTTTCTGCCACTTCTCAGCCTTCTAGCCGCAAGGATTGTGGTAGGGAACCAGCGCTTCAGGTGTCTGCATTGGTGGCTGAGGAACTTATCTTGGTTAAGATAAGTTGGTTGAGGAGCCTTAACCCCAAAGTGCAAGAGCTACAGGCTCTGACTGTGCTTTATTTCCTCCCCAGAGCCTTGAATGCCAGTAGAATAGAGAAAAAGACTAGCCATTTTCAAAGCCCCTCCCCCAAGCTCATCCATAAGCTCCCAGTGTATTTTCATCCAAAACTTCTCCAAGTTAGTCCCTTTCCCGTGTGAATTTAACAACAGCAAGGCTGTGTTTTCATATATTTCAATGCTTTAAAAATACCTAAGGCCAAAAGAAAGGAGGAATTCGTATTAGTCAATTTAAAAATTGCATTCTGATGTTACAGTTTACCATCAAATTCAGAGAAGAAAAAACCCCCAAACCTTCTACAGTTTTACATAGTAAACTACAAAAGGGTATGTATTTCGTGACAGACCATAGAAGAAAATGTGTTACCTCTGAAGATGATGGGAATCTCACCTAAATATTCCCCTGCTGAAAAATTTCATCAATGACCATTTAAGAGCAAATTCATCAATGCTCATTTAAGAGCAATATTAATGTAATACAATGAGATTGTATTTCATAAACAGCTCATTAAGCAAGGTACTCTCCAGTATACCTTCTGGAAAACTCAAAGGAAAATGCTATTAGCTTCCCAAATAAACCACAGAGTTCAAAAAACTAAAGAGAAGAAAAGTGTTTGTTCATCTGCCAGGTCCTGTAACATTTAGTTTTTACTGAATAGCTTTAGTACATTACATATAAATATCTTTCATAATAGGAAGATGAAGTTTGAGGTTGAAAACTGTTTTGTGTAAAGTAATCCTGCCACCAACCATCAGAGTTTCTAGGACAAATGTCAACTGCAGAAGAGGAGCCAGCTCAGCAGGACCTGAGATAACCCCCTCCACGCCAAGACCAGACCAGATTTATTCCAGTTGTGTAGAAGTACTATAGCCAAAGGAACTTTAGCTTCATGTCTGTGTCATTACTGACTGGTGATTCAAACTGACATGTAACTTATATCCAAGAATGTTTGGAGCCAAAATGGGTTATGGTCAATGAGTGAGTCAAATAGAGAATTAGATATGCCAGTATTTAGAGTACGGACCTCAAAATCAGACATAAATGGGACTTTCCTACTCACTTTCTGTGATACTTTGAACAAGTTACTCCATGTCTCTGATCCTCAGACTCTGATCTGTAAACACTTATTTCATAGGTTGTTGAAGAATTATATGAAATAATAACATTGATAGTCATGAATAAAAAGGGAATGGTCTTCTTTAGATCCCCTTGCTATCTTTAGCTTTGTTCTTATTAAAATATTATTGTAGCAACTAGACACATTTTATGCCTGTACCAGTCAAACAACTTTGCTTGAGAGACTAATCAATAAGTCATTGGTTTAGAATAAAAAAAATCTTATTTCATAAAACAGACTTACTGTAGCACTAATTCAAGTAAAGTCTTACTGTCTCAATACAGTAACTCAGCATATATTTGAAAATAATCAGAGAAGTTGATAGATATGGGTTATTACAAAACTTCAAGAACAAATGTAAGTGGTCTAAATAGAAGTGTGACTAGCAATGCTTTGTTCTACCAGACGTATTTGTAGTGCTTTGATGTTACCAGATACAAATAAATGTGCAATTATGGTAATTTGTACTGTAGATGAATCTCACACAGTATTGTTATAAATTTTAGAAAAAGCAATCAAAAGTTTCACTGCTAAAACATACAGTAAATTATCCTTGAAATAACACAGTAACAATGGAAATGAATTTTGATTTGGGGCATATTTCATTTCTCAGTTGAAGTTTTCTAAGTAAAAAAGGCATGGTTTGTTGCTCTTGAATATTAAGAACAATTTTCCATCAGAAAAATATAAACTGATAGAATCATTAAAATATACATTATGGCACTATTTCTACTACCTCTATGAAGAAAAATATTGATATAGATCTGTGTTTCCTAACTATATAATACTGATACATCTTTGACTCACAAGTCTTATATTTCATATTTAACCCCATGGAACCAAAATCCCCATATGAAAATATACATACAAAAATACTAACTCCATCATGTTCAGCAAAGCTGAAAACAATCTGGTTATCCATCAAAGCAATAGGTGAAAAATTACAATATAATCATATTATATAATATTGTGATGATTTTAAAATTAATGGCTAGATTTGAACCATTTGGTATGTCCACGATATATCATCAGCACAGAGTGATGTTACTATGGTTCCTTTTTAAAGAAATGGACTTGGAATAGAATTGTTCTTTGTGTCAATTAGAAATGATTTTTTCAACAATTTGAAAAATAAGAATGAGGAGAAGGAGGAGAGGGAGGAGAAGGAAAAGAAGGCAAAGGAGAAGAAGGGAAAGAAGAGCAGCACCAAAAGGAGGGGCAGGAGGTGGAGGGGAAGAACAAGGGAGCAGCAGCGGCAACAGTCACCTCCCACTTTGAAAATGGATAGAATAGAATGGCACTGGAATGATAGACTAAAATGTGTATGCATATGGGATGAAAAATCTCTTTTCCTTCAACATCAGATTCATGAACCTCCCTTGTACCATTTTGAGTTATTTTAAACATTGTTCTTTTTACTAAAATTTATACCTGGACCCAAGCAAATAAAATCCGTAGAAATAATGGCTCAAGAAACACTCCTATAAAGGAAAATGTGAACCAAATTTCTTGAAATGTAGCAAACATATTACATGTGCTCAAGGAATGTTTCTTTAGCTATCCTTTGGAAAGGAAAAATGGAACGAGAGTTGCTGAGCTCAGCTGTCCAGGGACAAGCAACATTACATCAACACTCTTAACTTGCCAGTTGGAGAAGTTGAATTTGCTGGAATCCTATAGGTTTGAGAGGGTGAGCCAATGACACAACTCTTGTTAGATTTAACAAATATACACAAGAAGAGTTTGCTCTTTTTCTACCTAGTATTTATTTCACCTGCATAATCACTTATGTTTCTGTAAGATGGAAATGAGTATTACTTAGCTTAATATTTTTCTTGATTTTATTTTCAGTTGTCTGGGCAACAATCCAATGGATCTGTGAATTACCATTTAGGTAAAGTAAAATGCAAGACAATATTTCAGTTGCTTTCCAGCCAATAGTGATAAAATATTCCTGAGAGGATAGAAAGATTACCAAGATTGTGACAAGCTTGAAGCCTATTCACTTGAAAGCAGGCGGTCTCTGAGAATAACTAGAAATATAAGTTGAATTTACTGGCAAAATCATAGAATATTAAGCACTGAACTTGTTCATCAATGTTTTAAAACTACAAGGATTAATTTTTTAATTAATGAGTAATAACTGACCTATTTGGTTATCTCTCTTTACTTTTTCCTTTATTACATTCAGTCAGGCGACTATATATTGAACTGATAAATAAGCAAACATACTATACCAAACATTGTGTGACCTGGCAGGAAAAAAAAACATAAACACAACTAAAATTTTAAAATAAAAGATAATATTTGGAGTGAGTGCTCACATGTATGGAAATAAGAATAATAATAAATAGCACTTACTATGTTCCTGGTTCTTCCAAGTGTTCCACATGGAAGTCTAGTTTGATCTTGACATTTGTAACCATTTTCTGCCTCTCCGTCCTTCCTATTTTTAGATAAGGAAAGAGAGGCACAGAGTTGTTAAAGCTTTTAACCCAGGATCATACAGTTAGCAAGAGGGAGAGAGAACAAAAAGACTCTAAATTCTTACTCATTGCATTCAGAGTGCTGGGTGGAGGAAAGGGGCTTCAGTTGGTAGCATTTCAATTGTAACAGAAAAATTGATGAGATCTGCATCTGGAGAGAGGCTGCACAGGCTGGAGACTGGAAGTAGATAAAATAGGTACATTCCTGCCTTCAAAAGAACCCTCATATTTTAAGCTAGGGACTCAGAAAATCACCAAAAAGGCAAATAATAAACAAATGGCCTAATATAGACCAATAAGAGAGTAAAGAAATGAATGAGGGCCTCAGCAGCATGGGTACTGAGCAAGGGAGCATGCAGAGAAAGGTTCCACTGCATGATCAGAGAGGCTGACTGGGAAGGTGACATTTGAGCTCAAGCTTTAGAAATGAGAAGGAGCTGAATATAGGAAGCATAGAAAAGAAAAAAGCCAGGGAGAAGAAAAAAGCCAGAGAAGGGGAAAAAGTTGATGTGCTTTGAGACGTTTCTGATATACTCCCAAATTATATATATTGATATATATAAATATATATATAGACTTTCTTTTCTGCTGTTTCTTCTTCTTTCACCTGTGTCCCCTGACTCCACATGAAACATTCTTCCTACTTTTACAAACTTTACCATATCTCATTTTAATCA